CACACACACACACACACACACACACACACACACACACACACTGTGAGCAAAATCTCATATCTCAAAAAAAGTAATTTCATTCCAAGACGATCATGAGGTAGCAAATTACACACTTTTATTAGATGTGATTGTTTTATATAAAATGGTCACAATTTCTAATGATGTCATGCACCTTGGGTTCAGTGTCACCAAGATTTTCGACTGTCCGTCTCTTTTCGAACATCTGAGTCTAGACTTTGATATGAACACATTCCTTGACTTTTGTGTCTCACGTTCATCAACAGGAGTCAGGTGGTATTTCGAGTCTGCAGCAAAATCGTGAAGTACAGTTTTCCGCTCAGACTTCATCCCCAGACCGAGTCCACGTGACAGAAGCGTCTCCACTTCTAGATACGCAAGGCTCCAATTTTTTTTGGCTGGTCTGAGTCTTTTGTGTCATGTTCACTGTGCTCCCATGTGTGACACGTTTCCACATTTTATTTTTTCCATGCGCTCTTGCTAACATGTTCACATCCTCCTCGGAGCACCAGACACATTATTGCATTCATTTTGTGCCAGGAATCCCATGACAACACCCGGTGCAGGGATAAGAGATCCAGCTTCTCTTGATGTAAACTTTTCCTGCACTCTAGATACCTGCGTTGCCTGCATTCCCAGACAGACATAACTCTTAAATTCCAAAGCTCAAGCACATAGCATGGAACTTTACTGGCCTGTTGTGTTATTGTGACAAAGATCAAAGTTTGAACTTGAAAAGTCCTCTGCAGTGAAATCCGTGCCGAAGGTGGTAATACGTTTATGTTGAGTTTTTCCAATGGCATGTTTTACAGTGAGCAGTCTTGCCGTGCACGAGTGAGTCAACGATAAGTTTAACAAGCAATAAAAAGACACTTACAACTGATAAGGCATCTCTCTTAGTTTAATGAAGGGATTAGCCAACCTCATCCTGCTGTCCTCTGTTAAAGACGAGCGCAGGAGACTTAATTCTGAGGCCTGTGAGCATGTTAAGGCGATTTTTGGAGGAATGCTGAAGAGTTCACGGAAAATCATCAAGCTGAGGGGATGATTGATGCTCCAGGCACATTTAAAACACTGTACATATGGCTTCATCATCAACCACTGAAGGAATGATATATAGTAAATGATGGCTGCTTGTATCGTCCTTGTCAGCACAACAGGCCAGCTTTAAAAAAAAAAAACATCTAAGTCTAGTGATATGACTACTGACTACAGCAGCTGCTTTGAGTATTTCTGAAACTGCTCCCTGGGTTTTTCTCACTGGCCTCTGAGCAGTCACCAGATGTGAATCCAGTAGAACCTCTGGGATGAGGTAGAACAGGAGATTGACCGTGTTAATGTTGTTGAATCCTTAACACAGAGAAAGGAGGCTGTTAGAAAGCAAAGGGATGAACTGTGTTGTCAAATCAACTCAAATACTGTGTATACTGAACAAACTATAAAGACTATAGGAGAACTGGGCAGCACAGGTTGAAGCCCAAACAAATCAGACCATCAGAGAACAGATAGAAAAATAAAATAAAGCGGGTTCTAAAGCTCAGTTCATTGCCACTCAGAATTTGTGAAGCAGAAAGGCTCAGCCGTCACATAAATCTAAAATCTTAGCAGCGTGGCTTTATTATTCATTGATATTTTAAGTTAAGAAGGCAACTATTAAAAAGTAAGTAGGATTCAGTGTGAAGCCTTCTTGTGAGCTAATCCACGAGCATGTTGGAAAGCAGTGTGATAGTCCAATGCCCTTGTAAGTGTATATGCACGCACGCACACACATACATGAACACTGTCTTCGAGACGAGCCACTCAGCTGTCACCTTAGCCCCATGTCGCAGATGAGGCGCTCAGCAATCTCGGTGACAGACACAAGATGTCCTGGACTGCCAGGGGCGTGCACACTGACACTGATGCACACACACACACACACACACACACACACACACACACACACAGCCTGCGTAAAATGTAGCTCAAACAGATGCGCTCAGCTGCGAATCATGCCTACTGGTCAAATATATGTTTTTAGGGATGAACAGGTAGCTGTAGAGGACGGGGCCAAAGCAGCCGAGTGATCTCTTGACATTTTAACTAATCCTTTCTAGCTTGTGGTTTCTTGCACATTTGCGAGATTTGCTAGCAGCCAGAATTGGCTTTTTCACATATGCAACCTGTCATGTTAGATCGGATGGTGACATGGTAGAGAGCAGAGATGCGATGGCTCAAACGCTGAAATGGACTGTGATTACATTTAGATGACACCACCGACTCCAGGCTACTGGCCTTTCTGTTCCAGCTTTGGGTTTAGAAGTGGATTCTTTAACTGCTCCGGTGTCTCATACGTTGGCAAACATCTCACCATGAAGCCAGCAACGTTTACAAGATATACTGTGACAGGGCTATGTGAGATGCCTCCCATTGAAAGCCTGCGCTACTGTTGTAATTTCATAGGGAGGGCTTTTGCTATTCAAATTACACAACTCTTCCAGGGTCCTTGTTCAGGTTTTCGTGGCGGCATGTGTTACTCAGTTGTTTGCATGATTCCTTGGTGAGGTGCGATTAGTCATAGTCCAACTTTGGGGCAACATTTTAGGCTTTCCTGTGACTCGGCTTGCTTGTTTATGTACACAGTCCAGACGAGCCACAGTGGCATTGCGTGATGCGCGTGAGGTAACAGGCTGTACCTGCCACGGCCCCGTGTTTGGTGGCTCAGGGCGAACACACGGTACCTGTCAAAAGCAGTTAGAGCCCGTTCAGCAGCCTGCCCTGCATGGCATCCCGTCAGACGGCAGCTGAACTTTTCACTTGTCAATTCTGAAAGGTTAGCGCTAAAATCAGCAGTGACAGATGCAAATGGATGGATGCTTTCCTGGCATTTTTGCACAGGGATGCTTCATGTCACATAGACCACCTTGTCTGTCCCCTCCTAGTTCCACTATCCTCTGTCATGGCCTCTCTTTAGCCCCTTTGTTCCCCTTTCAGAACATATCCAACTGTGAGGACAGGTAATACTTTACCACTTCAGGCCCTGAGTAGTATTTGTTTTGGGTCAGATGTGCCCTGGACCTTTTTGGTGTGACCCTTCATATTCCATATTAATCTAATTAGTTCATGCACGAAAGGCTCTCTCCCAGGTGATGCCACGCAGCTTTAGCTATTGTTCATTTCAGAGCAGGGTTTTAGTGTTTTATATTCGATGCTCGAGAGTTAGCAACCTCTTCGAGATTTGAAGAGTTGAATCAAAGTGACGTGCAACAAAGTTGGTCTTCAGTCCAGGCTGGTGTTTGGAAAATCTAAGCTGCAATATGCAACATGAGATTATGTTCTTCTTTGTTTTTACCTGCGACCATGAATGAGCATGCAGGAGCCATGTTGGTGTTGAAAATGCATTTGCAAGTAGCTGCAATGGTTGTTTGTTGTCACAAAACCTTAAAGCACAATAATAAGAGTTCATTTCTCAGATATAAACAAAACAAACATGTTGGTAACGTGTGAAATATTACTATTTTAAATTATTATTGATACACAGAAATATGTTTTAAAAAAAAGTGCCATCATTTATTAACGGGTCTGTGGTTTCAGGTTGAACTGAAGATGAAGTACAATGACCAGCACAGGTCCAGAGGTCTCCTTCCAGGGAATCGCTGGTACGAGATTCAGGCCTACAGAGCTCTCAACCAGGCCCTGGGAAGGTAAATGTCCTGCGCAGCCTTTACGTTGTTGGTATTATTTTCCCCTCGTGGGTCTGTCTGTGCATAATGTGGCCTTACTGGAGCAGAAAGCACCGTAGAGGAGTACAGGTGAACTTAAAGCCACAAGATGCTGTCTAGTTTATTTTTGTGCTCTCACTCTTTGTACTTAAAGCTTTAACCATCCCCTTACAGGTGTATTCGCCACAGGAATGACTGGGGCGCCCTAATTCTCGTGGACGACCGTTACAAGAACAATCCTAATAAATACATCACAGGTACACGTTGTGAGCTGTGGCTTCACTAGATAACTGCAAAGCGTCTCAACTTGAACACTAGATGGCAATAGTTATCCATTATAAGACCTTTGGTAACGTTTGTCTCCCGTGTGTGTGTGTGTGTGTGTCTGTGTAATATCAGGTCTGTCTAAATGGGTTCGCCAGCTCGTGCAGCATCATGACACCTTCAGCAATGCTATGCAGTCTCTGGTAGAATTCTCTCAGGTGCAGCAGAAAGTGGAGGCAGCCCCTGCAGACAGCCAGACCGTGTGCTCCACGGCCTCACCTCCAAACTGTTGCTCTCCGGCAACTGTAGAGGGACAGGAGCCGCTCAGGGCCGCACTACCTCAGACACCCCACTCATGTGTCAAACTGCCTGAATCAAGCCCCGCCACCTTCCGTCCGTTTTCATGTGAAAAGCTGAAAACTGAACAAAATGAAAAAGCAGGTAAGATACTTAGAAATGTTGAAAATAGAGCTTTGGTGCTGCGGGAGTAATATCTCAAGTCTCAATTTTAAACTGCTCCTGTTGTGAAGACTGATGGTGTCACTTTTATGATGGCATCATGTGACATCATCAGAGTTTGTAAATTCCTAAGGAAAGAAAGAAAAATTACTTTGTAATGTGGATTTTAGCCTGTTTTTCTTATTTTGAACCCCTGACAGGTTTGTGGTGACGACGCCCTGTTCCTCTACAGTGACACAAACCATCGATAAATAAATAACATAAAAGATTTCAGCCACTAGCACCTCACAGCTGCCACTGTTTGGGACCTAATCCAATTATTTTGTCTTTATTGAAGACATTTGAATCAGTGCTGCTTTTAAAAAGACACCGTTGTTGTTACTGAGCCCAAGGATATATGAGCATGACATCACCACCAGAAAATATGTGGAGATGGCGTGTTTGCACATTGTCTTGGTGAGCGGCCATTGTCTGTGGGGGTCACGACGAGGTTGAGCTGTTTGCTCAGTTGAATTCGGTGTGGTGGGTGAGGGTGGTAAAGGGACAGGCACAGACACCCCCCTCTTCTCCCTCATAGTTGGGGGTGGGGGCTATGGGATCAGTTGAGTGGCTTGCCTCATTACTGTAAGGTCTTTTGCATGCCTGAGTGGCGCTGGAGCGAGCTGATGAGCAGATGTTGGACTGTTGCTTTTAATTAAATCCCCTTGACCTTTGTTTGGGTTATATTGAGCGTAAGCCCACATTTATATGTTTCTTAATAAAAATAGCCTTGGCAGCCATGTCAGTGTGAATCCCACCAATGGAGTTATAAACAATTTCAAGTTTAAAGTTTTCTTTACAAATATAAGATGTGTAACGTTAGCAACACTGTTTTGTTTCCTTGTTGAAGAACGGTTGAAGACTACGCACAGTTTCCCAGCAGAGTCGCTCGCACCCAGAAGAAAGGCTAAGTCTCTCTACCACATTTTCACCTCCAGCCCCGTCAGCACCCGCTTCAAGAGGGCCATTTTTAAAGAGAAGCCACCCAGTAATGTCAGCCAGCACCTGGAGGTACCTAATCATTCTGATCACAAGGAGAACCAGGAGATCTCCTCTCCACAGAAGAACACTGAAGTGCCTCCTTGTCTTGAACAAGCGGCTGCAGACACTTCCAGTGAAGTCAAAGCGGAACCACTCAGTCTGGCTCTCGGGCCGTCTACAGGAGCAGTCCCTCCCAGCTGTGAAAGTGAGGCAGATGATCCAGCTGAAGAAGAAACAGATGAGGACCAGACCATCTTCTTTACTCCAGAACTTTTTGAGGATGAAGAAGACGAGGGCAACACAAAGGAGACGGGGACGGAGTCGCCTGCCGGGGTGGGTTCGGGGCCAGGGAACTCTCCCCTGCTGTCAGAAGAACTTTTTAGCTCTGAGCAGGCCCAAGGGCAAGCCTCTGCTTTTGATGGACAGGGTGCTATTTCAGTCAGTAAGGAGCGCACAGAGCTGTCACAGGGACGTGCAGAAGAAACCAGGGGACAGAAACAAGGTGAGGAGGGAGAGAAGGTGGGTAACCTAAGCAGGCAGGCATGCGGTAAGCTCCGCAGGCTGTCCAGGTCCAGACACAAGGTCCCTGCCACCCCAACAGGTAACTAACAATCTGGACACAAGGGATTGTGGTAAATAAGCAGAATATATAAATGTTTCCTCACTACATATATGTTATACAGACTGCTACAGACTTCACTATGTAATGTAAACTCTCTGACTTTATTCATGCTGCTGCTGCTGCATACATTACATAGTTCTTTCCAAAATGATTGTTTCACTGTTGATCTTTTAAAAATCACCAAGAACGCTGTACCTGCCTCAGGCAACGAGCTCGCTCACTGTAACTGTGTGAGGAGAAAAATGATGAGGCTTCAGCAGGCTCCCATCTGGATGTAGCTTCTCATTCAGTGTGACAGAGCATCACACTGAGGCCATTAAGGCCTGTTCTCAACTAACCACCATTACTTAAGCTGCAGCACTGATTGAATATGAATCTTAACAAATCATTAAAATACAAAACCGTGTACATCATCTGCAAAAAGCATTTAGTTCTGTTTTAATGATGTTGAGGCACGTTACATCTGACATGCCTGATTGAACCTATAGCACAGGCTTTTGTCTGTTCACTTTCAGTTCTAATTGTGTAGTTATGTGCTGTAAATTCAAGTGGGATTAGTGTGTGGGTCCGTCAGTCTAATAATTCATGTCAAGTCTGTTAAGATGCAATAAAATTAAATATTAGTTTTCATTGTTTATTTCCCCTTTTCTTTAATTTTTCTTTGAAATGTATTCGAGTAACTTTAAAATGGAAATACTCAAGGAAAAAAAAACCTACAGATTTGATTACAGCACTGACGTACATTAGCTTCATTGCTTTCAAAACAGTTTTTCTGCACAGCTGGACATTTTCATTCAGATTCCCTTCACAATAAAAACAAAATACAAAGAATTTAGACAGATATGTAATTATTATGATAGAAATCAAGGTGGGGGGGGGGGGTCAGGAGAAGCAATAAGGCTTCTATGCATGTGCCGGTGCATCTACTGTCTGTCCATCCAAGTTTGACATCATCAGGGACAAAGGTCCAGATTCACAACATCTTCAATGAGACACCAACAGCCAGGAAAGGGACAGTGGTCCAGCACAGAGAGTCCGAGGGAAGAGACAGAAGAGAGAGAGAGAGGGAGACAGAGAGAGAGAGACACACAGTTTGGACACTCATATGCTTGAGGGACAACAACAAACACAATGATACCATCATGTTGAATCAACGACCCTTTCAAAGATGTGTATATTATGTGTTAACCTTACTGAAGGATGGATTTATTGCAAGATCGTTGTATTAGTCCAATATTTTTTAGCAACGTTATCTAAAGAAGCACTGAAGGATTTGACAGGGATATGTTAACAATAATAACTATTTTAAATACAAAAAATGATCCCAGTGAGATTTCCACTCACTCACAGAAAGGTTTCTACATTTGTTTCATTTACATTTTATTTCACAGCATAATTCACCGTCATTTAGCTCGACCTCTTTACCTCCTTTTGTGCTCTTCGTGTAGGAAACTGATTTGTGCAGTACACTATGTGTAATCAGCAGCTTATGGGCATATTTGATTGTGTGTGTGTGTGTGAGGAGCTGAGGTGATTAAATCAAGCCGATGGTAAATGCAGACTCATCAAACAGCCTAAGTTGAAGGGAGACAGAGAAATTAGATTAAACATGATTACACTGATGTGATTTGTCTCATTACAGCGCAAACTTCACCAGTGTGTGATTTGCGTAGACGACCAGAGGAGACAAGTGTTCCTTTAAAGCCTTTCTTTGCTCATCAGCTGCCTCCCATGACCCTTATGCATGTAATCGTGCATGACTACTCGTTAACATCGTCAAAGCGGCGCGTGGAGAGGCCAGCGAATGTGTGTTAAAAGCACTTAATAGGGAAACGCTACGGAAAGACCCAGTGATGGCTGTGAATGGCTGCATTATTTTCCCATTGGACTAATTCAGCCTTTTCTGCGGCCGCAAATCATCAAAGCTGCACTAAGAAAACATTTTAACAAGAAAAACAGACTTAGCCAAAAAGATCAGCACAGATTTATGCTACTTGCCCAAAATAAATGGTCCGAAAACAAGTTTACAATTAATAATGTTTTCATACAAGAGCTGAATAACAAAAAAAGTTTGACTCCCTATCATTGAAATTATAGCCTGGCAACATTGGGTATTTCTCTCCATCCTGGTGGAGGGATCCCCCTCTAGTGACGCTGAGGTTTACAGGTTTTTTTTTCCATTAAAAAGTTTTTTTCATAGTTAGGAGAACAGAAGCTATCGCACCTTGTTAAGCCCGAGGAGACATTATGATTTGTGAATATGGGCTTTACAAATAAAATTTCTATGATTGACTAATAGGTAAAAGTGCAGAAACTTAAGCAGACAGACAGAGGAGAGAAGACAAGGTTGAGCTTAGTCCAAATCATCAGTTTTTCATTACAGGGAGAAAAATACTGACCTCTTGTCAGAGTTCATCCTGAACCAAAGTGTAAACTCCAGAGTGACTGAGTCAGGAAAATGTGTGGGTGTAAATGAACACAAAGCTTTCAGGAAGGTGGCCAACACCCCCGTCATTTCCACAACAGTTGAGTTTGTCCAAAACAAGAAGACTTGGGGGGTGGGGGGGGGGCATCAAACCAAAAGGTAAGTTCTGGAGAAGGTGAGCACCATAGTTAACAATACATCACGAAAATGTGCCTTTTATGAAACGACCACTTGGAGGCGATAAAGTCTGAGATTAAAAATGGCCTCGATCAACGTCACTGCAAATGAATTGTCCGGCATCAAGATCTCTCACGTTCATGTCCAGCCGTTAATAGTTTCCTACTGTTGATGAACATGTCAACAACCACACTGTCCATATTAGATCCATGACGATACCAGCAGGTGTATGTAAGTAAATGAATGGGAGAGAGGATGACACCACACTGTGTCAGATCAACAGTGAAACACGGCTCAGGTAATATGTTCGATGTGTCTCCACTTCCTGCCGCTGTTCACACATGACGCCAACATATCTCGGACTCGGCTGCCACCATCACTGGTATAATTTATTCCATGTTCAGTGGTGAGACAGTGGAGCCGCCGTGTCAAGTCCCATCAAACTCAGCTGTCATTCATGACTTTTCACCCAGTTTATATATATATAACCAAATAACTTAGTCAGGGTCTATGTCCCATCCACTAATACGGAGGAGGCAGGGTTTAGAGCCACAGGTGCTAACAATTTAGCAAGCTAGCAGTCTGGTAAATAGCATGTGCAAAAACATGCTTATCCAGTCAAATTGTTTTATGTTTTCTGATCATGCTGCTCTAGTTTTACTGTTAAATATCCTGCAGTTCATTTTTAATGTAAAATAGAAACCGTCTTCTTTTCCGATCAAGCTGTGAAAGTGAAGCGATCTTCTGAACGAAAACGCAGGAGATTTAACAAGACTTCACCAGAAAGAAAGGTAAGTGACCTGTGTCCCTGAGGCAGGTCAGCGTCTACTACTTCTCCCCCGTGTGTAACATGTTGTTATATTAGTTTATAAAATGTTTTACTGACAATGTAAAGCAGTAATGTATAGTAACAACGCTAATAATGATACCGTGGATTTATATATAAAACCTTTCAAGGTACACAAGGCTGCTTTACAGAGAGGACATGAAAATCTTGTGGTCAAAAGCTTTAAATGTAGTAAATGTTCACACAGATCAGTGAATAGCATTGACATATAAAAGATTTTCACTTTTGTAACTTTTGCTCTAATAGCTAACTGATGCAAAAGTAGGAAAGGAGCTGTCAACAAACTTTTACAAACACATTTTACATTTTGTGGACAGTAACTTTCACAAATTAAAAATGATTCTCGACGGCCACTATCTATGATAAAAGTAAAAAGAAGTTTATACTGTTACCAGATCACTTCCTGTCATGCAGATTTATAAGACAACACAATAACTTGACACAAATGTTTTGTTTAAGTTGCAGAGACACGGACGCTGTGCTGTTTGGGACTCTACTGTTGTGAAAAGGAACTACTTCCCGTGACACATGGTAATTCCTGATGAAACTACAAATAAACTATTCCATCTCTCACAGTCAACACGCTTCATTTTGGCACTGATTGAATTTTCTCTCTGACTTGATTGTTCAGGTGTATTTCAGCGGGCTGTTTGTGAATTTGACCATCTAGCGTTCCTGAGAAAAGTCAAGTGTGTTCCTGCTGCGATGGCCCGCCGCTGCCGGTGTGCGGCACATCAGCCAACAATGTTGGACAACTCAGGTCCACTCCTGCTCGTCCAGAGTCTCACATCACCAAACCCCCTGAGGACTGCTCCTCAGCCCTGCTGTGACAACAGGATAACAGGTCGGCAACTAGTTTGACTGAAGCACTATATAATACCGAAATCCTTCAAAATAAAAGGATGAACAATGTCTTATAAAGAGCTCCCTCCCTGCATCTGAACATGAATGTGAATCCTGCAGACCACTCAGTTTGATTTAATTCAAATATTAGATAAACTAGTGGCTCCCCTCTTTGATTAGTGTGAATCCAGGCAGATTTGTAAAGAATCGTAGAAGCTTTTCATAATATTAGACAAGCATGAAATATAATCCAGGAAGTTCCAGACACCTGTGTCCTGTCACTTGACCCCAACAAGGTGTTTAGGGATTTAGTAGGCGGTCATCAGGAAAATTTACTTTGAACACATTTGTTAAACTACTGAGCTGATATGACACGGAGCCCTGCACGCCATCGGTTTGACATGACTGTAATATTTTCATTTTGTTCCTTTGGTCAGTCAAGTTACATGCACTTACATTGTTTCTTGTTAATGCAGCATATGACGCCATCTGGAACGCAGTGCAACAGATGTTTGTCTCAAAGCCCTGATCGCACACCGATAATCACAGGAGAGATCGACGTGGCTCAAGATCAGGTACACACACACTTCACAGATGTTAAGAATTTTAAAAATATGTAGAATGAAATAATTAAGAGATCCTGATTTCTCTTTAGACAAAATCAGTAAGTTATTTTTACATGTTTCATACATACAAAGAGGAAAATGTCATTCTATTGTAATGACTTTTGTCTTTTTACTTGTGAAACAGGCAGAACCATATGTTTCAAAAAATCCAGACTAATGAACAAAATACGTAGAAAGCTAGCGGGAAAAATGACGGAGAACACAGTGGAAGGTAAAAAGAAACTAACAAACATACCAGGCCGACTCTTCCTTTACAATAACAGTGGCAGCGGTCTCCCACCAGCTCCCTGAGTTTGGTTTGATTGTTACCACTTGGTATCAAACAACAAAATTACAACAAGTGGTTTCAATAACATGTTAAAGTAAAAAAGTGAAATGATTGAATGTCAATAAAACACACACTACCACAAACACACACACACACACACACACAATAAATGAAATAAGTATGAATACAATTTGAATAAACAAACAACCGGTCAGTGGGGGCGGGGCAGTATGGCTTCAGTCTGTGGACTGAACTGAACGTGTTCTTCGTCCTCGGATAATACGACAGTGGTCAGAAATCACCGGCAGATCATTCGGATGATTTGATTATTCGGATTTCACCACATCGGACTGATATTCACGTGTGTTGGCGATGCTGAACGCAGTCATGGCAACAACATTCGTAGAATCACTTCCTCTTCAGCTGCTTTGGATCGTGTACA